CCCAACCCACACAAACACAAAATAAAAATAAAAATAAAAATCTAATGCTGTGACATCACAAATTAAATCCCTTCAGTTACTATGTTTAGATGAAAAATGAAGTCTAAAGAACGCATGATTGTTAAGTCAGTTAAGTTAGAAACAACAATGATCCTAACCCTGAATCTTTTGGACTTTGAACTTGAAAAACTAAAAGAATTATTTTGAACAGATTTTTATGTAAGGATCCATCTTATTTGTGGATGATAAGCTAATGCTATGGGTTTTTGGTGCTTCTAGAAATCATTTTAGATTCGTAACTTAGATTTACTGGTTATATATAGTATCCATTACTTCTGAAAAAGTAAATTGAGAAGACATAATTTAAGTTGGCTTCTTTGAAATGGTCCTCCTCAAAAAGTGAACTTCTTGCAGAAAGTCCATCCATCATTGTGCACCAATAGCTTATTTAAATGGCTTCCAAGCGCACATTATATTGACTTGTTCTGGATCCATAAAATATTGTTTTGGTGTTCATCTCCTCGTGTATGAGGGTGAGGCTGCTTGTTTATTTTTACAGCAAGAAAGTAGTTGATTTCACATGCCAAATGGCTTTGACATCATGTCCATTGTGTCCAAGTATGACATGAGCACATGCCTTGCAGTAAAATTGTGACATAGCGAGCTTATTGCTAATGCTTCTCCAAATTTCTTTTCTCCCTAATCATTAGTGCCGTTCAACTGATCTCTCATTTTTCAACTGCTCTAGCCTGTCATAGACTCATAGAAAAGGTCTCCAGATTCGTCAAAATAAATAAACAAATGAACAGTAATTTGTCTATTTATATAGGATTATCATCATCAAACAAAACCAGATCATGCTTTACTGCTTTGCATATGAGAGTTGCTTATTAATAAATAACATTCCAACAGAATTAATAGTTTTTCGAGCTTTTGTTGTTGTTGTGAACCAATAATTTCTCCAATAAGCGAAGTTTTTCCTATTAAAGAGTTAGATATATGAATTTTGATTTTCATCACTGTGTTGCAATCAACTTTTTATGTGCTAAAGATCTAATAATTTCAAATGTTATACAACTATGTTATACGGTTATAGCATGTTATTTTTCATCTTCTTTTGGGTTTATATTCCTGAAAAGTGGGAGGTTTGGGAGCTTTTCTAGGCCTACACAAGAAATTTAAGTCATTGTTTTATTATTTATTGTTAATTAGTGCAAATTCCACTCAATAGAGATGCCTATTCCTTATTTTGTCTATTCTAGTATAGCCCAACATTCATGGTAAAATGATCATTTTGTTACACTCATCTTATTGATATTTTGTGGTTTATGAGCTCAACACTTAACTCTATCACGAATCACTTTTCTAATAACTGTTCTGCAAGATTTTTCTTTCAATTTGTTAGTATCTTTTGCGTACATAGTTCATGTGGCATTTCTTGGATTCTTCATATTGTCCTATGCAATCTAATCTTATGCATTACATCCTATTTAAGCTTTTGATCCTCACTTATAATTGATCTCAATATAAAAACATTACTCTTTGGGACCACATGATCCTCTATTGTGACACCAAATCATCTTTATTTCTACTGTGACTAATAGGATGTTCTATATGCTTTGTGTTAGTTCTCTCTTCCTCAAGTGTATAGATTTCCAACTTATCCAAAGTTTAATTAGGGATCCAACCCCTCTTAGTTTCATAAACTTAAACTATGCTATAAACAAATAATGTACACCAAAGGAATTCATGTTTAACATGTCTCGGAAGTTCATTTATGAGGAAAATGAAAAGTTAAGGACTTAGGATGCAACTTTGATACAAGCTAGTACAATAAGAAACTCCATACTAATAACCCCAGTAGGACTCAATTTATAGCCATATTTGTTAGCTTATTTGGCTTCCATATGCATCAGAGTCTAATTTGCTTCTACAATTAATTTTTTCATTTTACAGTGCAGACTTCATGCTTAGTGTCATTGTCTTGTATAGAAGTGCTACAGGTAAATGCTTAGGCTTGCTAGTTCATGGTTGTGGAATAAAATCTAGGATAACTACTTTGTGCATATAATGCCAAGTTTTCGTCCCAGTCTAGTTACAAGCACTCTTGTCAATGAGGAACCAAGATGACTTTGAACTCATGTTTTATGCTTTTAAGCTGCTCTAGAAGACCTGTCCTTGCACATTTATTTTCTGTGTTTGTTACTCTAATATTGCTGGTCCTGTTCATTTTTTTAATGCTATATGTTATCATCTCAGAGAGCGACACGGTGACATTCCCTGAATCCATCATTTCTGGCCATCAAGAGTTGGTAGAACTTGAAAAATATACTCTTGATACAGACGAGACGAAGAAAGAAAAATCAATTCAATTGCAGAAGAATCACAGTTATGTTTCACAATCTGCAGTGGCTTTAAGGTGTCGAGTCATGCCTCCTCCTTGTTTGAAGAACCCATACCTTAGGAATTCTTTGGAAATGGATATAGATCCTTTTGGCAATCAGAGATCAAAATGTGCAGGTGCATTTTCATTAGTCAACTTCTAAGTTTTCAGTTTTGGGAAGAATTGATTTGTTTTATGGAAAGGATTTATTCTGTTTGCAGAGCAATTTTCTTTTATGTTATATAGGTCTTTAAAGTGAGTTAATGTGTACAGGTTGTCATGAAACCTTTCTAGTTTATCTTAGATCCTAATGAACACGTGTTATTGGGATGCAGGTTTTTGTCCTGCAGGTATTGGTGGTGATGGTCTTTCACGCTACCGAACAGATTTCCATGAAATAGAGGTACTGAGGTACATTAGGATACCAAGGATTTGTTGCTTTATATAAAGTATTGAACACATTTTTCTTTTCAATGCTTCACTTTGATTGATTTTAGCCTCCTACAGCAAATTGGCAGCGGAAACTTCAGTCGTGTATTTAAAGTCCTGAAAAGACTTGATGGTTGCATGTATGCAGTGAAACATAGTTTGAAGCGATTACATCAGGATACAGAAAGGTAGCTTATTCATTGTTGAGCTACTTGTAATTATTGACTCCCGATATTTTATCCCGCTTGCTTATACATTCATTTACCAGGAGTAAGGCTTTGATGGAAGTTCAAGCTTTGGCATCTTTAGGTTTGCCTGCTCACCCATTTTTGCTTACGCCTTATCTGAAAATGTAATTGTTCTGAAAGTGTTGTATTTTACAGGAACCCATGCAAACATTGTTGGCTACTACTCATCTTGGTTTGAAAATGAGCAACTTTACATCCAAATGGAGTTATGTGATCACAGCCTTTCTATCAAAAAACACTCTAAATTATCCACAGAGGATGAAGTTTTAGAAGCAATGCATCAGGTGAATAGTTTTTAAATGCATTTCCTGTCCTAAAGTTAGTTTTTAAATGCATTTCCTGTCCTAAAGTATGCTCAATGGATGTCCTTTTACAGTAAAATAGGTTGTTTAGGAAAAATTACCACGATATTGCATTGACTCACTCTTAACACTATTGCCTAAAGTATTCTAATGTAAGCTGAAGCATTCGATTTCAAAAACCTTCGAATGGCATGTGGCTTGAACCCTTGTCTGCTACGCGAGGTAGTTGGAAATGGAAGTGGAGAGTGATGTCATGCAGTTCTCCTATTATTTAATGAATCATAAGGAGGAATGATATTTCGTAGACAAAACAGTTGAGGTGCTTGTCAAAGTTCAAAATTTGACTATTCAACTTTTTATAAAATTTCAATGCTTTAAATCTGGTAATTCAACAATCAAATTCGTCTACTTGACCTCAGTAAATAATAGGATTAATCTATTAAATGATGAAGTGAATTAACTATGTTAGAATTTCAATTTCCGAGTGACTTGTGCATGAGATTATATGTGTGAATTCATTTATTTTACCTTCTGATGGCTTAAATGACTCAAGAAATGCATCTCAGTTTCTAGAAACTCAATAAGTTTTACTTTCTTCTTTACATATTTCAAAACTTTGGACTATTAAGCCTGTCTTGTGTAATTTCTGCCAATAAAAATTCTCAAATTTGCAGATAGCCAAGGCGTTGAAGTTTATACATGAGAAAGGCATGGCACATTTAGATGTCAAGCCAGATAATATTTATGTTAAAAATGGAGTTTATAAACTTGGTGATTTTGGTTGTGCAACTCTTCTCGATGGAAGCTTACCAATTGAAGAAGGCGATGCACGGTTTATGCCCCAAGAAATCCTGAATGACAAGTATGATCATCTTGACAAAGTTGATATTTTCTCCCTAGGCGCTGCTATCTTTGAGCTTGTCAGAGGGGTGCCCTTGCCTGAATCAGGGCCTCATTTTCTAAATCTTAGAGAAAGAAAACTGCCTCTTCTTCCTGGTCATTCATTGCCATTTCAGAACTTACTCAAGGTAAAATAGCTTTCCTTCACAGCATATTCCAACATATCCTGCAATCAGAGGCTTCAGTTATGTCCAATCTTTTTTCTTGTAGCACTATCGAGTTTACGATTTTAACTGATCATTTTAAGCGAAACCATTACATTTCAATCTTTGGCGAAGGTCCTAAGGAGCTAAGAAAGCCTTTTAGTGGCTAAAACAATCTTCTTAAATAAATAAAAAAAACTAAATATACCACATAATTTCAGTTAGAAAGTAGTCCGTGTTGGTGATTTTGTATTGCCGTGCGAGAGGGGACTGATGTTTCTATTGGTTTCTTAATCATATTAGGTCATGATGGACCCTGATCCAACTCGACGACCTTCTGCTAGAGAACTACTCGAGAATCCAATTTTTGACCGGCCCCAGAGAACAGCAAAAAGCAAGTAAACTTGAAAGTTTGCGATTGGATGATTTTGACAGAAGCTGGAAGTTGCTGTCTCAATAGTATTTTTTGGCCATTGCTGAAGGCAAACTACTTGGAATGAAGTGTGCAGGGAAGGATTAGGTCATGATGGACCCTGATCCAACTCGACGACCTTCTGCTAGAGAACTACTCGAGAATCCAATTTTTGACCGGCCCCAGAGAACAGCAAAAAGCAAGTAAACTTGAAAGTTTGCGATTGGATGATTTTAACAGAAGCTGGAAGTTGCTGTCTCAATAGTATTTTTTGGCCATTGCTGAAGGCAAACTACTTGGAATGAAGTGTGCAGGGAAGGATTCAAAATGAGCGGAATCCATAAGACTTCTCTCCATTTTCTGCACCAGAATTTTCAAATATAGATGGTGCTAATTTTGTATACACAAGAAATGGGGAAGAAACTATTGTGTAATACTTCCGAGTTTTGACAATTGATAAATTCAATCATGGAAGGACCTGAAGTTGGTCATTACTGGTGTTAAACTGGGCCGGATTGTCTATGTGCAGGCTGGCCCATTAAAGACCGGTGCCAGCTCAGCCGGCTAGTTTTTGGCTAATGTAATTACTCTAATTATATCTCACATTGTTAAGTCACTCTTAAAATCGACTTATGGAAGAGTTCCCTAAGTATAATAAACTGACATACTCAATGTAGTCGTTATAAACTTACAAACAAGCTGCGGACGGGCCTGCCTACGCCAAGTCCAGTCAGTCATTATTCGAAATTGCCTAATTTTTGAAAACTTGAGAATTGTCCAGTTGTAGAAATTAAGTAATTAAAATATTTATAGTTTTAGCTCTTTGGTATGCATTATTTTATTTTTCTAAAGGCATTAAATTAATTAGCTAAAACTAAAAAAATTTAAAATGTTTTAAAAGAGAGAAAAAGAGGAGAGAATTATGAGTCAAAATTCAAGTATATATTATTAATAATGAATACCCTATATTTATAGAGTCTAAAATAAGATTTATAATTGGAATGAAATTGATTTTCTAAACTAGATAAGGTTATTCTATATATCATGAGAGTACTAAACAATCAACAATAATTATCTCAATATTATACAACACTTCCCCGTTGACGATTATTTGCATAATAACTATCTCATTGAAATTTTGTTTGGCAAAAAAACTCAATGGGACAAAAATGTCAACAAATGAAAAAATAATACAAATAATTTGGAGTAATAAAATATTGATTCGTTAAAAAACCTTGTCAAGAAAACTTCAGTGGGACAAAACTTGATCGAAGGAAAAAGAGTACAACTACTACTCTTAATTTCAATTCTTGTATCAAGCTATCCATTCTTGTACATCAATGCCTTCAATATTACAAGTTTTGGTGAAATATGTTTATGTTGTCTTGCATAGTCTTCAAATAATACTGTATTCATACGAGATATTTATCATTATTTAATAATTGTAGTAATACGATAATTCAAAAATAGCTCTTGTTGATCTCTTCGAGAGTCTCATACATATAAGAGTATGCCTTTTTGAGGATAAATGCCTTGTAGGTTAAGAACCTCATTACACAAAGAATATGCCTTATTAAAACCTTATTGGGAAAAATCTTAATGAAGAAAAAAGAGTACATTATTTTTTTAAATACACTACAAAAGTTGCCTCATTAAAAATCTTGTCAGAAAAACCTAATGGGACAATACCTTGGTCAACGAAAAAAGAGTACAACGCGTATTTACTCCCTCTCATTATGTCTGAACTATATGAGTAGTTTGCACCAAGGCAAGGAAAATATTGGAGGTCTGCATATATTGTTCTGTTCAATTCAACAATTTATCCTTTGTGATTCATCAATTTTCTAAACAATGGACCCATTTTTTCTATCAAACTTTCATCAGATGCATCACAAAAGAAATTCTAAACAATGGGACTCATCAACTGCACGCAGACTATAGGAATATTAATTCCAATTAAGCACTGATTGGTCCAATAACTTTTAGTAAAATTGACGAAAAAGACAAACTCAATCGATCAAAAACTACAGCTTGCAAGAAATCATCACAACCAACAAACTTGAAAATGAAACAAGTGGTTTAATATAATTTTTATTTAATTGAAGTTAGTTGCGTGGGGATGAATCCAAGGATATATGAAAAAACCTTTTGGTAGATTAGTTTTCAGTTGCAAGTTAGTTACATGGAAGTATGTGTGAGATATGTTAGTAAAAGAGTTGAACAAATGTGGATGCTGGAACTTTTTACTCAATTATTGCAACAACATATTTAACACTGCCATCATATTCGACAATGAAAAGGTAATTTCAGGAGGCAATTATGTTATATGTCACTCATTCATAGTAAAACATTGTAAAGACATACATTAACTTAAATAATCGAATCTCCATGAAGAAAGGAATTCTTATAATAATTGAATTAAACAAGAAGCATAACGTACGTGGACAAGAAAATGAAATAGAAGCATCCACTTTGCGTAGCATTAAATATCAAGTTTACTTCATTTTGTATACAATTCACTCACTTTTTTGTTCACTTCTTCATACTTTTAATTGAAAAAATTGCTATAGATATCAATAGCCATTCAATGAAATAATAAGGTACCTTGAAACAAAAAATCACATAACTTTCATCTTCCATTTACTAACTACAATAATCCATCCTTGCTAATACTTGATATCAAAATAGCAAAGTAAATTTAATTAACCGTTAATTGTTCAACATGCTTGCCTTGGTAAGCAAAAAAATTTAACCTCATTGATGCAATTCTTCTATATTCCTCTTAAACCATATAACCAGTCTAGAAAGTAAACAAGTATTCCATTGATATATGGATGAAAAATCGGATATTCACCCACAACAAAGAAACTTAAAGGCATTGCAGATGATTAAGAAAATGCAATTTAAAAAATATACCTTTACAACTCCAAAATCTAAGGGCAGGTGATGTGAAAGCTATTCCAATAGAAGTGTTCATCCATTCATCTGTAAAAATAAATAAATTCTGAAGAGTCAAAATAACTCGTCTCCCAAATGAAGGACTACAGTAAACCTTGGATAAATAAAAGTAAAAAATCTTGTAGGTAAAAGTACTAAAAAAAAAAAGGAAAACAAAAATTAAAAGAATAGGATAAGAAAGATTAAAAAACAATTAAAAAATAGCAAGAGAAAAAAAAGAAAAGCCCAAAGTATATAAGAAATCTATTATTAAAAACGGAAAAATTACATTAGTCATAATTTAGCTCATAAGAAAATTGAATTTTTACTATTAACTTCTTTTAGGTGCATATAGATAGTTGTTTTATCGCAAACAAGTAAATAAGAGCACAAGTTTTAGTCTCATTACATAAATAAGAACAATACCCAACTCAATTTGCCCTTGTTCATCGACTACAAATGCAGATATATAAAGAATTTAAAAAATATGTCACAGGTTCAAGAATCTAAACAAATATGAATCCAAAATGCTATTGAGTATATAAAATTGATGAGAAAAAATACCAATTTTGCAAGATGTTCATTAATAATATCGATAAAATGTCCTCTGAGAGTCCCTATCACTATCGAATAATTCCACCTCCTTGAGAAAGAAATACCTGACTGCATCAGAGCCAAATCTGTGCACCAAGTTAGTCGGCTCAAGTGTATTTTTCAGTGACTTTCCCATTTTAAAGCAATCCTAACAAATGAAAAACATTGTTCACTAAATAAAGTAGATTAAATTAGGAAAATGGTAAACACATTCATTATAATTTGTATTTTATATAAGCGAAAAATAGATAGAAATCATATTAGAAACAATCTTTTAATATTTGAGGTAAAAGATGAAAAACTAAATTAAATACCTTTGTCAAGAATCCATGGTAAAAAACCATTTTTTAGAGGAATATACATTTGGCAACTACCGAGTGGTAAAAAAAAAAAAACTCAAGCTTAACATTCAGAAAATTTATTACGACAACTGCAAGAAGGACATGATAAAATTCCAAAAATTTTAAATACATGATTAATGAAAACCAAACATCCAGCATGAGGCTTCTTCTACTATGAAATCGTAAAAGTTTTAAAAAAATTAGGCCAAAACCTCTTCGTGGATTAAGAGACCTGAAGATCCACTACTTCATATGTTGCAGACACCTGAAGCATAGTAAAATTATCAATACATGACATGTTCAGAGTAAAATATGAATTGAGAGAAAAATTTACAATTTTGATAAGAGAGAGGAGTTTGAGAGAAAAAGAAATGGGGTTGTAGGAGAGAAGAAAGATAAATGGATGTTGCGTAAAGAAGTAGGGAAATAGATGTTGTGTGAAGAAGTAGAGAAAAATAGATTTTGCGTAAAGAAATGGAGAAAAGTAGGGAAAACGAGAGAGAGAGAGAGAGAGAGTGAAAAAAAAAAGAAAAAAATTACTGAAAAAAAAAGAAAATCTCTCCACACTATGTGGAGAGTGTGCTCCAACTCTCTGCACAATGCGGAGAGTTGTGCAGAGAGTTGGAAAGAACTCTTCATACTGTGCGGGGAGATGGAGAAATGGCTCCGCTCTGTGCGGAGAGGTAGAGAGAACTTTCCGCACGGTGCAGAGAGTTATTTTCTTTCTTTTGCTCACGACAATTTATACATTAAAATAATTTTTTTTTTAATGATGATGGCACAATGCGTGTGGAAGAACATTCATAAACAAAATTCTTTGCCACATTGCAGTTTTTATTTTTGCTCAGTTTATATATACTATGTTGAAGAAGTAGGGGAAAATAGATATTGTCTAAAAAATGGAGAAAATTATGGAGAGCAAGAGAGAGTGGAAAAAAAAATTACCGAAAAAAAGAAAGAAAATCTCTCCGCACTATGCGAAGAGTGCGCTCCAACTCTCCGCACAGTGTGGAGAGATGGTCTCCAACTCTCCGCATAGTACGGAGAGTTTTTATTTTATTATTATTATTTTACGCTCATGACAGTTTATATATATTAATTTTTTTTAATGGTGATGTCACGATGCGTGTGGAAAAACATTTGTCAGATCACCATAAACAAAAATCTTCAGAAATATGAAAAATGACATCACGCATAGTAAAATTAGATTAATTTACTGTTGCAT